AGTCCTGCCTCGGTGGGTGTTATCTGCCTGGGTTTAACCACGTCTGTAAGGCCGCCAGCCAAGACCCCACGCATAAAGAGTTATGAACCCAAAATTGTAAGTACTGGGTGATCCCTTGGGTTTACAGGGAGTTTGGGCAGTTTTAAAAGGATGATGCTTCATTTAAAAAAAAAAAAAAAAAAAGAAAATTTCTCCTTTCTCCCTGCCACGCTGGTTACAAGTGAGGAGCCCTCCCTGTGTGCAAGCTTTTGCCCGGTGCTGCCCAAGTGCAGCTGGCACCTTCCCTAGGCTCTGGCGGTTCTGCCCCTGCCTGGGGTCATTAACTGTTAGTACAGCAGCTGGGCTTTAATGGAGGCTTGGAAATAGGAGCTCACGGTTGTTAAGCTGTTGACGTAGGGATCTATGCAACTGGAAGGATCCTTGGAGGAGCAGAGCATCAACTGGTACCGCTTAAGGGTGGCTTGAAGGTTCTCTTGGGGTAACTGGCAGGAAGCGATCTATGTTAGAGCCTGTGAAGAAGTTCCAAAAACTTGTAGTTAATAAACTTCCTGTAGTCAGATACTTGGTGTCTCTTGGGACCATCAACCTGGCAATGGAGGTCTGCTCCTGTAAAGCCTGAGGCGCTTACAGGTGCCACTGAGGAGCTGGATGTGCCGAGAGCCCAGCACCTTGCAGGGTTAGACCTCGGAGGTGAGGAGGAAAGCAGCAGTATTTCCATGTTTACCTTTTGAATAAAAGAAAGCCTCATGCTTCAGCATTCTTTTTTGGGTTTCAGGTGGATTTCTCTGGTTACACTGTAAGGGTCTCTGCCAGGCTGTAGGTTAGCTATTCCACAGCTGGCCATCAGGCACTAGCTTTTCTAGCCAGCCTTTGGCTGCCTGCTGACTCCAGGTGGCTTCGCTCCCTTGCTTCAAGCTGGAGGATTGCTTGGTACTTGGGAGTGAGGAAGCGCACAAAGGTTGGAGCTGATTTCTGTTAAGTGCTCTACAGTAGTACCACGTGGGCTTAAAAAGAAAAAAAAGGAAAAACAGCCTGTAAGCAGAGTACTTTGGATGCTAAACTAGAATATTAAATTCACGTCCCACTGGTTTTATTTTTTAAAGCTTTGTTAATCTTCAATCAAAAGCTGTAAGAAATGGGATGTGTAACAAGCACAGAAAGGGTATTACACTGCTACTTAGAAGAAGGGCCAGAGATCAAGCTCATGACCCAAGAAAGTATCTGCTGTGCTTGTTCCCCCTTCCCTGCAGGGCTGCAGGTGCCCATGTGGCTTAACACGAGGTTTCCTGCTTCCAGCTCTGGAGCTGACTGCGCTATTTCTGTACAGTCACTGTTGCCCTTCTTGGGTGGTATCTGACTGTTTTATACACCCCCCTGCAGGTATTTGGTGCAGGCTGGGTCCAAGAAAACATGACTGGAGGGATGAAATAAAAATTGGTGGTGCTTTTTTTTTTTCTTTTTTTCTAGATTGCGGTGAGCAAACTTCGCTCTATGGGAGTATTTCCTTGGGGCTGCCCTGCAAGCACATGTCCACGTCTCTAACTTCAGTCTGCGACTTGACTGGACTGCTTAGTTGCGTGCAAATTCCTTGGGCTTGACTGTCTGTACAGTCTAGTCCAGAGTCCTCCTCACACAGTAATCCAGTGACCCGAACACTACAAAGCCAATTTGCAGCAGCTTGTTGAATGGTTGATGACTATAGTGTGTCTAAGTGAACCTTTTTCTAGTGAAATTAGTTTAAAAGGGGACTTTTTATGGGGAAAGAAGATGACTCTATTGATGGAGCAAACAGTAAGGCCTTGCCAGGCTGCTGATTACCCCTTACACGCACACACAAAAAAATTAGTGTTCGTATCAGTGCTGCTGTTCTTGATGTAAGCCTCCAGCTGCTCAACCTTTGCAGCCTTTTCCCCAATTCTGCTAGGGCATATTACAAGAAGATAGTGGGTCTCAGAAAGTGAATATTAATAGGTAAACACATCTATTTCAAATCAAAATTATCTTATAGCTTAAAGAGGGTGATCGTGAGAAATAAGCAAAGCTGTGGGGTTGTATAGGTTTGGGGTTTGGTTTTGTTGTTGTTTTTAATCCTTTTTGACCTTGCTAGATGTTTGTTGTTGCGGTTAAGCAGGTAGCCTTCCTTAAAGTTGTTTGGTTTTTGTTTTCTTCCCCCTTCCCTGCTGCTAGGGAAGGATCCACAAATTGGCTGACAAGTAGGAGAGGAAATGGAGTGTGTGGAGTGAGATGGGAAATTACACTGGAAAAAATGCAAGACCTTGTTATTTTCTTTGGCCTGTATAGTAATATTTGATATTACGTGTAAGAAGTTCTAAAAGGATGTTTCAACTTGCAAAAAGCTGAATAAGCTCACTCAAGGAGGCATTCGCCTTGGCTTAAAAATACTCAGGAATGTTCCAGTTGAGTGATGAGATGGCACAAAACACTGGAAAGTACACAGGATGGTATTTTATCATTGGGCACTTGGATTAGTGCGTGAGGACGAGACCCAAAGCTCACTGTCTTGTAGGCTTCTTTACCCTTACTATTTTCCTGGACCCTGCATGGTCGCATTTAAGTCTTATAGCAGCACCAAGAGCTGCAAAGGACCAGGTAGGCATGTCTTTTGAGGAACGAGAAGGCAGTAGTCGCTGCCCTCCTTCATGGTACACCTCAGCCAAGGGCTGTTCAGATTGTCCAACTGGAAGCACATCAGCAATCCTGTCACCGCCAACTTGGGCAAAAGTCAAGCTGACATTTCTTCAGCACTACTGCGTTTACTGCAGAATGGGGTGCGTGTGCTATTCTTGAAAAAGAGCGACCTTCGCTTTCTCCTCACTGCTGGAAATTGCTAGCTAATGTTTAGGCCAGACTTCTAAGAAGTTTGGATGTTGATCTAGGTCTCTGCAGATCAAGACTTTAATTACTAGTGCTCTCTGCCAGACCTCTCTTCCCTTTGTCCCAAGGCTGCTGTTTTTCATTGGGAGGGGTGGAAAAGGTGGACTTCAGCCCCTTGTGAGATGGGAGCTGGATCAGATCCCACCCGTCTGTTCTTCCTCCTGTGGCTCCAACTGATTACTTGTAGACTCTCCTTTAGCTGCCCCTTTCATGGCAAGAATAGCCAACAGCCCTTCTCTTTAAGTGGAAATTGATTCTCTGAATTGGTTTCTGTTGCAGGATTTTAAGCTGGAGTTTGGCCATCATCAAGGCAGGACAAGTTCTGTCTGGCATGGAGGTACAGCTACCATTGTTCAGAGCCCTGGAGACGAAGTATGGGGAATAGTGTGGAAAATGAACGCTAGCAATTTAAGTTCACTGGATAAGTAGGTGACTTAACTTCTGCTGTCTTCTACTCTTTTAGAGACCAATTGAATAGTAGTAGTTAATTTTTGGTGAAGAAGGTGTGTGAATTTCACTGCATAGTACATGTATTGACTTCTAACACATTTGTGATTAAAATGGCTTTGTTTTCAAGCTAAAGCTACTTAAGGGTATTTTAATAAGGTGTGGACCTTGATTTGGAGCTGATGTATTGGTCAGGTTCCTTTTTCTTGATCCCTGTCCTCGCAATGTCCTGTCCCTTAAATTACTCTAAACTCTGTCCTGTGACACTTCCCATTGCTTTAGAGAGAGTTTCCTTTGAGACTGACATCAATTTCTGTCTCTATACATTTGTAGACTCCAACTGTAGTGGAAGAGGAAGGTATGAGGACAAGACTTTGCAGAAGAGGGCAAGGGGACCTTTTGAGGAGGTTATTTTGCATGTCCTCTAAGGATTCTAACTTTTGTGAACTTGAGGTACATCCAAGCAGGGAGCTGGGGTGGTTTTGTTTTTTCCTTTGAATGGGCAAGGCTGCCTGCGCCATTACAGTGCATGGCAGAGAATGTTCTGCCTGTGCCTGATAATTAAGACGAGTTTAAGGCAACCTGAGCAAGTCATTCCTAAGCGGAAGTCTGGAGGACCACCTGGGTAAACAAATCAAGGAGCAGCATAACTTCTTGCAGGGTCTAAAGCAGGACTTAGAACTTAATCTCCAAAACTTTGGCTGGTATCATGTGTTTATTGCAGCTTTCGGGATGTGCCTGCACAGCATGGTGCTTCTGGTACACAAGGATCATTTGTTCACAGCAGTTTATCACTGTCAATTAATTCCAGTAGAAATCTGGGCTAGTGAGGCTAGGGAAGCAGAGCATATTAAACCCATTGAAAGCATCACATTAATACAGTTGTTCTGCCTCTAGTACTGTTGCAGTTTTGGTTATGGCTGCACTGCGCTGTGTAGGCATGTCCTTATAACCTTGGCCATGAAAATTGAAGTTCCAACTTGCTTTTCATTGCCTACAGTGAACCCGAAATACAACAGAAACTGTTGCCTGAGTTCTGTTAGCACATCATGGGAATGGGCACTCTCAGCAAGTCCTGGTTGGGACTGTTAGTCCCCAGCAGGAGGGCATCTAGCTGGTATGCTTCTGGTTAGGGAGAGCTTCACGTGCCCCTGCTTTATTATTTCCTCAGTTTCCCCTCTGTTGCTTACACTAGCACTTACCTCCTGGTCCCCTTTCTGCTGATCTTTACTGAAATCTCCTGATTTACCATGCTTGCCGAAAGCATAAACTTTAGAAGTATAAAGATGCTGTCTGGCAGCATATGTTTGGATAGTAACGCTGCATTCCCCCTATGGGGACAGCCTTTTGTATTTTAACTTCTAAAGTGTTGTTTACATGCTACAGAATTGCAAATGCCTGTCATTTGTTTGACAGGGGATAAACTTTAATGCTGGCTAAGATGCTAGAGACACGAGTGCTATATCGTCACCAAAAGCTGCAGGACAGACACCAGCATCAAAGATTGCTTTTTCCCAGCTACCTCACTGATGCCATGAAGGCGGACTGGAAATGGAAGGAAACTGGATGTGTTCTTGGCTTTTATAATGATAGTTGATAGTGTTCTTCTAAGGCTTGCTCCTAACCAACCCAAAAGAGCTTG